CCCGGATCAAAAAACTTGTGACTGAAAATAGACATATCACAACAAGAGAGTTGGCCAACCTTACTGACATATCCAAAGAACAAGTTAGTCATATTCTTAATAATGAATTATTCATGAGAAAAGTGTGCGCAAAGTGGGTGCCATATCATTTGACTGACAAAAACAAACGCAAACGTGTTGATCTTTCCCGGGAGCTTCTGGACTTACTAAAAAATGGTTTTCATAATGTTGTAACTGGTGATGAAACATGGATCTATTTTTTTACAACGTCTAATAAAGAAAATAACAAAGAATGGATTGGAAAAGGAGAAAACAGACCTCAGATTGCCAAAATGGCGTGGAATAGCAAGAAACGAATGTTTTGTGTATTTTTTTCTATTGACGGGATTGTGGCTAGTAAAGTGGTACCAAAAGGGGCTACTGTGAATGGTAACTTTTATGTCGAAGAGGTGCTGCCAAAAGTTTTTAAAAATTTCACAAAAAAAAGGGGAAGACAAACAATGCGAAATGTGATACTCCATTATGACAATGCCACATCGCACAAAACAAAGGCTGTTACCAACTATCTGGAAGAAAAACATATTATTTTATTGCTCCACCCTCCTTATAGTCCAGATCTTGCTCTGTGTGACTTTTTTTTGTTTCCAGAAATCAAAAAAAAATTAGCTGGACAGCATTTCGATCGAATTGAAAATCTTGCACGAGCCGTAAAGACAATCACTAATAATATTAAAATTCACGAATATGAGAAATGTTTTCAAGATTGGCAGATTCAGCTCAAACGTTATATAGAGGTTCATGGAGAGTATTTTGAAGGGATGCATTAGTTTTTTTTATTGATTTATAGTCAAATTTGATCAATAAAAATATGATGACAAAACTTTTCAGCCACCCCACGTAATTATTATATGAAGAAGTGAAAGGTAAGGATTTGATTTAATATTAATTGTGAATAATTTGTAGTGTTAAATATACATGTGGTGTAAATTATTTTGCTGTTGACTCAATTGCCAAAATCCTCAAAAATAATTGTGTCTGACTCAATTATTTTATATGTTTTAATAGTGATTCAATTAATTGCATCAAATAATTGCGTCAAATTGTATCAAGAATCTATCAATTTCTATCACATGTATAGTATTGGATAAAGTTTTAAGTAACTGTTGTTATGCCAGTTTGATATTTGTATATCAATAGAATTTCAAGTGAAGAGTTATTATATTGTAGAAATGAGTTAATAATTGATTGTAATGCTGTTAAGATATATTTTTGGATTAGTGATTCATGTAGGTTTAGGTAAATTAGTATCTATGGATTGTTGGAAAGTGGTTTTATAAAAAGTATATAGAAAAGGTCATTTTTTATTGCTTTTGTTTTGATTGTATTGTTAGATTGATTTTTAATAAAAAGATTGAGTAAGTTTGTAGGGATTAGAAGTTGATATTCGTTAGTATTTGTTTGAATGTTTAGTGGATAGCCTTGATATTTAGAGAGTATTATTGATCTGTTAGGATCAGAATTATTGTAGATCCAATGGTTAATAAGAAGATTGTTTATATTTGTTTTGTTTTTTTTCTATAACTATTTTGTTGTTAATTAGAAATGCTAGCTATTTTTTTTTTATTTGATTTTATTGGGGTTGTGCCAGTTTGTTGAAAGTTTTGCTGTAATAATAGTTTGTATCAAAAAGATATTTTTCTATAAGTATTGAATTCAAATCTGGCTAAGATATGATACCAGCTTGTTATTTTGTTGTCATTGTATTGAAGTAATTGTTTGATATAATAAATATGTTTTTTGAAAAGTTGGTTTACAAAAATAGGCCAGTTTGGATGATATAAAAGAAGTTGATGAATAGGAATATTTTCCCTTAGAAGTTTGTATTGACAGTTAATTTTAGAGTAGAATGAGATATTGTAGTTTTTAGTGAATTGTATTGTGTATGTTATGGTATTATATTTGATAACTTGTTGGTTTTGAAAAAGGTTGGCAGTTTTGAGTTTGAATGATAAGGATTTTTAGTTCTTTGCTATGTTTGGTGATAGGATGTGAGTGTGTATTGTAAGTTAAAGATTAGGACTTCTAATTGTAGATCTGAGATTAGTTAATATTAAAAATATGTGGGTTATAAAATATACATGTGGTATAAATTATTTTGCTGTTGACTCAATTGCCAAAATCCTCAAAAATAATTGTGTCTGACTCAATTATTTTATATGTTTTAATAGTGACTCAATTAATTGTATCAAATAATTGCATTAAATTGTATCAAGGATCTATCTATTTCTACCACATGTATATTATAAACCAGAATTGGAGAAGAGTTTTTTCTATATTGTTGAATTAATTTTTCTTTAAATATTTTTAAGCATATTTGGAGTGAGGAAGATTGTTTGAAGCTTATATTCAATTCATGATAAGAGAATCTTATTGTATATACTATATATGAGACCATCTGATCCATTGTATATTTGGATTTGAGTGATTAAGAGATTGTTTTTATATCTTCAAGAATTTTATTATAGTTGGATATAAGGATGCTATATTTAAAGAGCCAGATGTCTAGGATTCTTATTGGTTCTTTTTTAGGTAAGGGGAAATTGAAGTTGTTCCTTGAAATATTTTTTATCAGATGTTTTGCTGTTTATAATAATAAGTTTGATTTTTGTTAGGTTGGTTTTAATATCATTAAGTTAAAAGAATTCTGTTGCAATGTTGAGGTTGTATTTAATTTCATGTTTTGAAGTTGCTAGAAGATTAAGATTATTTATATATGCTATGGTGTTGTGTTTTATATTTGATGGTTGTTACATTAGGGTTGTGATTAGTGGGTTATAGAAGATAATTCATTAAAGAGATAAAAGTATTTCTCCTTAATCAATTTTATTAGGAATTACAATTTATTATATGAGACCTAAATCTATTATTATTTGGTATATATGATTGTAAGGATATTATTGATTAGAGAAATAAAGGTTTCTGATAAATGTAATCTTTGCATCAATTTTTTGAGCATATCCAAATTTATTAAGTTGAAAGCTGCACTAATATCAAGTAATAGAATCCATAGTTTCTCTTGTATAAGTTTTTTGGAATTGTAGATCAAGTTTAGAATTTGTATTGGTTCAAAAGTACTTTGATTGGGGAGATCTGTAAAGTTGGATTTTTGGAGGATATTATGCATTATTAGGATTCAGCTGAATCTTTTGGTTAGAATTCTAGTTAAGATTTTTTTAAATAAGTCAAGAAGAGCTATGAATCTTGTTTCTTGTATATACAGTATATACTTCTATTGGAGTTTTTTGTTAATTAAGAAGATGTGATAGTTTTTTTAGTCTGTTGAAATTTCTTGGGAAAAAAGTATTTGATTAAAGATTATATAAAGATAGAGAAGAAGTGTTTTTTGGATTTGTTTTATAAAGAAATATATAATTTTGGATAAAGATAGGTCCCTAAATTATTTAGCATATAAAATTTTGCAAATTAATTATATCCCTTTTGAAGGGATATAATTATTTGTTTATTATTTTAATAGAGATATAATTCAAAAAACATTTGAATCAAGTAGCCTAAATTGCAAAAAACCTTTATAGGTAGTTTTTTTTTGATCTTATATTTAAAAAAAAACTTTTTTAATAGTGAGATTTGAATTATATCCTTGCCTTTAATTTAGGAACCCATCTTTAATTTTGAAGTGACCAGGTGCTTTGTTGTTTAGGAATGAGTTAATTGTTTCTGTTATTTTATATTCTATAATTGGACTCATTAGTGTATTATAAATAAAGAATTAATATTATTAAGTAGAATGTAATGTTTTTTCCATTTTAGAAGAAGTTGGTTATTGATTATTCCTTTGCGAAAGACTTTTTTATAATGTTCTGTAATTGTTTGATAGATTTGATGTGGATTAGTTATAACTTCTTTATTAATGGGATCAATGATTTTTATAAAAGAGGCATGGGAATTTTTATGGTTAAGAGTTTGTTTAATTATGATTTTAGGATTCTTGTATAGATTTGTTATTCGTTGGTTAATAATTTTGATGATTGTTTCTTTTCTTTATAGATTATTTTCAATTTTAAGTATTTTGAAGATGATTTTAAATAATTTTTTAAATGAGTTAATTTAATTGTTTTTGTTATTGTAGAAAAGTTTGAAATCTTTAAGATCTTTTAAAATTGTATAATTAAGTAGATAGGGGATTTGTGTTAAGAGATTGTGAACATGAAATTTGATTGCTTAAAGTTTTTTGTGAAGTATTGTGTCTTTTTTTAAAAATTTGTGAAGTATTTTTATGGGTTTTTGTTTTTGAAACTAATTTATTCAGAGTTTTAATAATGTTTGAGTTGAAAAATTTTTAGAATTCTTGGATAATAGTTTCTTCTAGAAGTAATAGCAGGTCATTAACAATAGTTGAATTTATTGTTTCCCATGTTTTAAATATAATTTTGTTAAAATTGTAGTAAGTAAAAGATGTTTTTTTGGAAAGTTTAGTAATTAAAAAGTTTGAAAGTGTCAAGAGGATTTGGTGGCATTCGCCTAAATCCAGGTCACTTTTTTTGAAAATGGTGCGACATGGTTCGCCATTTTCCAGTATTACCCTGAAAGGGTACAAAAAAAGTGACCGCTGAGACAAGACTTATGTTTGTTATATAATTAGTGAGGATCTATATTTGATACATAAAAATAAAAATCTCTTATATTTAGTCGAGACAGTGAGACGCCGGGTATTCTACAGGGCCATCTAAAAATAGATTGGCCTGAATTTAATTCATAATTTTGTCTCGGATGAAAAAGAAAATTTTTTCTGGCTGTGGGAACATCCACAGGGCCGATAATTTTGTCTCAGTGTCTTACGGATTTGTCTCAGTCGATCAGAGTGAGTTATCCGAAAATAAAAAAATTATTTTTAGGTAAAACACGTTAATTATAGCAAAATTGATTTCATTTATTTTACTAATATAAAAAATACGATTACATAAATTGACATAAATCCTATCCTATGAAAATTTATAATCTAGATAATTTTTATTGCTAATTCTATACATAAAATCTTTCGCCTCAAACCATCTTTGACGTTCATTTAACCATCGCACTATTCTTTCATCATATTCATCATCAGTCTCAACTATATCCCCATCCCAACCTGCATACTGACGCTTCGGCCTTATCGGATGATCTCCAGATTCGATTGTGACCTGTTTAATATCATCTAATCGAGTTGGTTTTATATATAAATTTGTGCGATAATCTAAATCATTAATAGAAAAGAAAGAAAAAACCGCGTGAACAGTTGGTGATGGACCTAATCCTTCTGCAATGCGAGCATGGTATTCTTCTTTAAAAAGAAGAAGGTATGAAAATCCTGGTGATGATGGTGATGCGAGCGAGTTTCTCATTTTTATGGAAGTTCTTCCAGTAATAACTTTAAAATTAAAGGTCCGTTTAGTGAATTTGAAATGTACGTATTTGGAAGTCATCTTTATACTTTCAGATTGAGGTACATTGGTTTACACTTATATAAAAATCAAGAAGCTTTCGTTAACTTACAACACTTTTCCATTCAGCACTAATCAAGTCTAACTTCTGAAAAATTTCTTCAATACCTACACACGATTACAATAATCATCCACAAGTTTGAAAATAAATTCACGTGAAATCAAACTCAAAAAATTTATAGTATTAACACAAATAAAACAGGTGTATTATACAATACATTCGAAAAATTCGAATTCGACTAATTATTTCTATTATATAAAATGAAAATGCTATATTTATACTTCTTTTTCTTCGACTTCTAAATAATGAATTTTCCTTCGTGATCATCTGACTATAATAAAATCTAGATTAAATTTGACGATCTGATAGATTTTTGGAAATTTTCAAAATTACTAAATAAGAATAAGATAAATTCTCACCCAATTTAAACTAGATCATCTGAAAATCGATTGGTTTTCATCTTGAACAAGTGAAATTAATTATTCACGCGATTAAGTATATATTAAACAAGTACATCTCGATAGGTTATATAATCAATACTGACGAATTAATATTTATTATATTATCCGCCAAATGTAAATATACATAAAATATAAGAAAAAAAAAAACAAAATAAAATCAAATTTAAAATTATATCAAAATATAATAAATAAATTTCAAAAAAAATGTGCTGAGGTGGGAACATCCACAGGCCGATAATTTTGTCTCAGTGTCTTATGGATTTGTCTCAGTCGATTAGAGTGAGTTATCTGAAAGTAAAAAATTATTTTTAGGTAAAATAATTTTGACATTTTTTCGTGAGCTTTTAGTGTGATTTGATAAAATTTTTCCGTGTTTGAGAGTTTGACAATCAGATCCCAAAATGGAATGCCTTTTGATTGCCACCTTGAGAAATTGCTCCCGATGAAGTTCAGTCTTCAAGGAGTGATGAAAATGATGTGTCCGTAACGATCGGAAAAACAAAGACCAAGAGAAGCCTTTCCCCGATCCAAGATAATGGAGAAACTTTATACCGATCTTAGATAAAATAATTTTGACGTTTTATCGTAAAATAATTTTTGATATTTTTTCGTGAGCTTTTAGTGTGATTTGATAAAATTTTTCCGCGTTTGAAAAATATATTGTTTATAATATTGAGAAATATATGATATGGTGATTATAGTGAACAAAGACATAAGTGAATGAGATTTAATGTGTATTTTTACACAATTGAGTGTTATTGTTTATAGATTTGGTTAGACTTTTTTATGTTTTTCCGATGTTAATATAAATAAATCAAGGAGAGAGATTTTTGATTAAAAATGAAAGTGAGAAAAAATGTTACGAAGGCTTGCAATTATTGTGTTAAAAAGAAAATTCGTTGTGATAATGAAATCGTTTGCTCAGTTTGTAGGTCAAAAGATATTAATTGCATAAGGGAGTTATCCCAAAAACGTGAACCGAAACTGAGGTGTAAAATGATGAAGATTAAGTCGTTATATGTAATTTTATGTAATTTTATTTTAATTTTTAAGATTAAATTTAATAGAATTTTCGATTTACAGGTTAAATAATCAATAATATTT